GTGCTGGGCAAGGGGGGGGGGTGTTCGGGTGCCCGGCGGGGTCACCGGAGCCCGGGGGGCGGCGAGGTCCCTCGGGCGTTTCGGTGCAGATGGCTGGAGTGAGGTGAGGGGCGTTTGGGGGCAGAAAAGGAGGTTTCTGAGTGCAGTAGCGGGTCCAGGACAGCCCCTCATGCCCTTCGGTTCGTTCCCTTCCCCTCCACATGCCCTTAGGTTTCTTCCATTCCCCTTCCCTGCCCCACAGATCACCCCTGTTCCTCGCCATCCGCGCTTACTCCATGTTCATTCTCTCCCGTGCATTTCCAGTTCCTCCCATTTCCCTCTGCCTGTGGTCCAACCTTCTCCAGTCAGTACTGAAGCACCTAAATGTGCATGCTGGTCATCCTCCCTTTCTCACCAGAGGCCAAGAGTTTTACATGTCCAGTTTGAGACTTACATTCTCTATGCTACCCTGAGCTGACAATCCTGGCTGATGCTCAGTACCCGGGGACAGAAGCTCTGGAGACATTTGCTATACACCTCAGTTCCCCTATGGAGCCCCCCATGGGCTGCTAGGGACAAAGTCCTTCCAAGCTACAGGTGGCGGATTAATATTCTGAGATAGTTTGCTATCCGTGACATGTCTAGAGAGTCCATCACGGCCTCTTAACTTTTCCCTCTTCAGAGCCAGGAGTGGGGATGTAGCTGGGAGTTCTGGATGTAGCCCGTGTCCTTGAGAGTGTCCTGTGTCATCTCAACTGCTCTGATTCCTTCCATGTACACTTGCCCACAGAACTTACAGCCTTAGGCAGTGCAAAATGAATCTTCCGTTCCCGTTCCCTCACTATCAGCCAGGCACTGCCTCTTTACTTGGCCTCATTCATGTGTTCTGTGGGTTAACGTGTCCTTAATTTTGTGAGACACCCTTCCCTCCTACCCACATTTCAACCTTGCTCACTTCTGCTGGCCTAAGAAAGGTACCAGCTGCGTAATCCAACTTCGTAGTCATCCACAATCACCTCTCCGCCTTCTGTTGGCATCTGCTTTTTTGGCTATAAGCTATTTCTTCTGCATCTGTCCAGAGCTGGTGGGATTTCTGAGACCCCATTCAAGATCTGTGTCCCTGGGACAGGTTTTGTCGAACCCAACTCAACCCATCCCAACACAGCAGGAGCAAGGAGGGCTTGAGGCTCCCTGCGTTCAGGTGTGTCTGAGGCGATGGGAGTCAGAGGGGGTTGTGGGCTTTACCTTGATCCCTGCTTTGCCTGGACCAAGTGGTGTTTCCTGTTTTTGCGGTGCCCAGGAGTGTGATTGCCCCTACCAGGAACAAGCTTATGACGACTTGTAACACTGTGGTATCCTCTGCTGCACATGTCTCCTTGTCCTTAGTCCAACAGGCATTTTAGTTCCAAAAACTGAGCTTGGCTGATCAGATGGGAGGCAGCAACCCCAACACAAACTGTTCCCACTCCTCTTCTTGTTCAGCATAGCCCACCAAGGTGACGTACTGAAGGCAATTCACTCTCCTGACAGTGTCATGAAGCTTAAGGGTGATGATGGCCTATAGTGGGGTGCAGAGGGAGGAGGATTTGGGGATGGCACAGAACAGAACCTAGGGTCTGTGTATGAACCTTCACACAGGCTGTTTAGGGGAATAGGTATAGGAAAGGGAAGGGGAGGGATCAGGAGAGGAATAGACATGGGAAGACTAAGAAAAGGGAGGAAAGGGTTTGATGGCACATAAGCAGTGGTATGCCTGCCTTCCTGCATGAGTATCTTGTTTCACCACTGAGGTTTGTCCTATACTCTTATTAAATCACATTTCCTCTGTTCAGCTGTGCTCCCCATTCCAAGCCTGTGTTTTTGACCAGCTGATAAACCTCAGACTGAACCAGCTGCTCAGCAGAGCAGGAGATTTTGATGCCCAGTGCAGCAAAGCCATGTAGGGTCCAAGGGACCTGAGGGTCTGGGTGCTGGCTACCAGACACCCATGCTCAGAGCCTGTCACTGTGCACACACGTGTTCGTGGGTGGTTGGCCATCTCTCAGGCAGACCAGCCAGTGCACAGGACATGCAAGAAGACCCTGGGCAAGGTTTCCCCAGTTGTTTCTCTGCAGAACCAGCAGTGGATTGTGTCCTGGTTCCTACAGTTCACCAGGCTCAGCTACCTCTAAGGTAAAACTCCTGCAGCCATGGCTTAAATTGATGGTCTGCTGTTTGTTTGTTTGCCATGTGATGTGTCCTGTTTTGTTTTTTTTTTTTGTTTTTTTTTTTTTAACGCCTGTGGGTAAGCCTACAATTAAAGATTTTAGAGGTCTGTGCCATGTTACTTTAATGTCTGGGGTGGACTGGAGAGTGTGAGGTCAAGGGTAGAATCCTCTGTCTAATAGGAAAACCATTCCCAACCTCAAAGAAAGAGGCAAGTCCTTAGCATTGGAAAAGTGTATTTTTGTATGTCAGTGTAGTGGAAAAGAGTGTTGCTGTTTCTGCGGAATTCCAGCGAGTCTGTGAAGTGGGGCACAGCGCAGCTGATGTACCTCCTGGGGAGTATGGCAAATGAGGCCAAATGAGCAGCATCAGCTTGGAGGTAAATAATACTTGAAGACACTTTATCTTTCATCACTAATGGTTTTAATGTCTTGCTGATTTTTTTTTTTTTTTCAGCAGTTTGGGTGCTTCCTTGTATGCAAATCTCACAGGGCTGAGATTTGGCTGGGAGCTGTTTCCAGCTGCATGAAGACCCACATGTGCAAGGTAGGGATGTGGAGGGGATGAAGGGGTGTGCCCATGGTTCTGTGCCCACACTGTGCAGCCCAGCCCATCATCAGCCTGACAACTGCTTCTCACAGGCTGAAAACCAATTTAACCTGGCTTGGCACTGAGACTCACCATGCTGGCTGCAGCCCTGCATCAACCCCAGCAGTGGTAGTGTGCCAGGAGCTGAGCCAGAAGGTGACATGGAGAGGGGATCGCTCTGCCTCTGCTTCTTTTGGGCATCATCTGATAGTGCCTCTGGTCCTGCAAGCGGGAATCTGAAATAGGACTCATTCTACTGGAGTTTTGCCTGATCTCAGCTCTGCAAAGCCCAGACTTTTCACAGATCCCTTTATTTCCGTTTTCTCTCTGGAACGTTGGTTTACAGAGCAGGCATTGTTTACCCACACTAGCATTGTTTTGTCTGTCTCCAGGTAGCAGGCAATGCTGTGTGGGGCTGACAAACACTGCCTGGGACAGCTTGGGGAAGCTTTTCCTGGTTCATAGGAAGTAGTGTAATGAAAGCCTTTATACTCCTCATGGAACGGCATGAGACATCTAACAGTAATTCTGCAGTGCTCATAATTTTCTGGTGTTGGCCCTGAAGAGAGAGAGAGATCTGGGTTTGGTTGGATTTGTGCTCGAAGAAGAAATAGGGTGGCAGATGTCTTTTATTCTGGCCTGAATAATGAAATCCTGGAGAAGTAGCATAAGATTTCTCCTTAAATTGACTCACATTATTATTTTCCTAGGACAATTATCAACTAGATCTCTTCACAATATAAGGGCGATCTCTCAGCACTTCTCTGAATGAGAGGTAGGAACAAATGTGGTCTTCCCTTGCTCTCAGTTGTTTCTTGCTGTTCTGATAGGGAGGAAAAATCCACTTGTGCATTTAGCACTTATTCTTTAAATGCATGGAACAGGCCCTAGCTAAGGCTGATAGGAGCCCTCTCCAGCTTGTGCTAGAGAGGTATCTGCAGGGTGTGCTCCTCTTCAAGAGGCAAGAGTTGTTTTTCCTTTTTGACTACAGTCCCTTTTGATTCAGAGACTGAGGTTACTACTGTCCCTTCACAGCGACTACACGACAGACTATGTGTTTCTTCCCAGGCAGTGTGACTGGCTGGCTAGCAGGTGAGTTCTGTGTAAGCCCAGTAAAGCCAGTCTCCTGTTGTAGTAAAGCAGGAGTGAGTGTGCTCCCTGCTAGACCCTTGGGTGGGAGCAAGCAATAGCAAAAATGGCCCATGGAAACAGGCTGATAATCAGAGGGAAAAAGAAAAATCAAGCACTTGACCTTTTTCTCGTGGATAGTTTGTCACTGACATGATTTTTGAAGTGTGCTTTCACTAGTAAAGTGACACTCAGTGAGATTTAGGGTGCTTCTCTCTGCAAGGTGCTTTCTCTTTTCCTGCTTGGGCTGTAGTCGCTGCTCCTCAGTGAAGTGATGAGTGCTTTCTGCTCTCCCTGCCACACGTAGCCAACCTGAGACACCTTTGGCTGATGTCTTTCAGACACTGGGGAGTGCAGGGTCATGGCATATCTGAGGGATGAGGTTCTCAGCAGAAGGCTGAGTTCTCAGTGGGAATAAAATCAACAGGTACAATCTTGCCTGTTGTTAGCGGGTAGCAACATTTGAGTTACGACAATGCAATTTGTCACATCGCAGAACTTACATTGCCACAGTCATTTCTGAAGTAGATGCTGTGTGAAAATCCCTGTCAATTGACTTTGCCTAGTAAATGAAATACAGATTTTATGGTGGCTGGATTGATTCAGCCCTGCTGGCAGCTGCCTGAGGCCTGATGAGCAAGGCTGTCTAAGGATGGCCCTCCTTTTCCTGGTAGAGAGAAACAAAGGCATTTTCAGTTCATTACCAGATCTCATTGAAGACAAGAGGGAAAATGTTTTTTGCTTTTCCCCTTCCTGGTCCTGTTCAGAGCACAAGGAACAAAGTTATCTGCTCCCAGCAGCATCTGACTGAAGGGAGCTTGTGTCCTTGTGGTGGGGGGAAGAATTCCTGGAGCAGAGCGGATCTGTTCTCAGTACAGCCAGAGTAAATGATGGGCCCGCTGTTAGGGTAAATGCATGCTGTAATTGACTGTACAACTCTGTAATGTTTGCCACTAGGAGAACTCATAGAGCTTGCTGTATGGGGTCTGACTGGGATGGGGTTAATTTTCTTCATTTCAACTGGTATGGAGCTGTGGTCTAGATCTGTGATCAAAACAGTGCTGATAACACAGGGATGTTTTAGTATGGTTAAGCAGTGCTTCCACAGTGTCACAGACTTTTCTGCTCTTCACCTCACCAGCGAGCAGGCTGGGGCTGCACAATAAGTTGGGAAGGGACACTGCAAGGCCTCACTACAAGAACAAATTGAAGTTCTGGAGCATGTCCGGACAAGAGCAACAAAACTGGTGAAGGGTCTAGAGAACTGGTCTTACCAGAAGCAGCTGAGGCAACTGGGGTTGTGTAGTCTGGAGAAAAGGAGGCTCAGGGGACACCTTATTGCTCTCTACAGCTACCTCAGAGTTGGTTGTAACAAGGTGAGGTCGGTCTGTTTTCCCAAGCAGCAAGTGACAGGATGAGAGGAAACAGCCTCAATTGTGCCAAGGTTAATAAAGCCTTGGAACAAGCTGTCCAGGGAAGTGGTTGAGTCACCATCCCTGGAGGTATTTAAAAGATATGTAGACATGGTGCTTAGGGACATGGTTTAGTAATGGACTTGGCAGTGTTGGGTTAATGGTTGGACTCAATGGTTTTAAGGGTCTTTTCCAATTTCAGTGATTCTATGATGCAGCCAGGACAGCTGATCCCAACTGATCAAAGGCCTGTTCCATACCATACAGTATCATGCTCGTCAATAAAACTGGTGGAAGAAGAAGGAAGGGGGATGTTGGCAGTTATGGCATTTTTTTTCCCAAGTCACCCTTACGTGTGATGGAGCCCTGCTGTCCTGGCAATGGCTGAGCACCTGCCTGCCCATGGGAAGGAGTGAATGAATTCCTTAGTTTGCTTTGCTTGTGAGCGCAGCTTTTGCTTTGCCTATTAAAATGTCTTGATCTCGACCCGTAAGTTATGACTCTTTTACCCTTCTGACTCTCTTCCCTGTCCCACTGGGGATCAAGTGGCTGATGGTGCTGAGCTGCCCACTGAGGTGAAAGCACAACACTTGTCCATTGGGCTTTGTAAATGGTTTTCAAAGATGAAGCAGGACATCTTATTTCAGGTATTCCTGAAGCCTTTATTGAATGG